TGGTTAGTTGGAGTTCTATATGCCTCATTAACTGTATGTCAGGTTCTGTTTCCATGCTTGGGAAATTTTCTGCTATTATTTCTGTAAATATTCTTTTTATGTCATTTGTGTTGTCTTCTGCTGTTTCATTGACTCCTATCAGTTATGCATTATTCCTCTTTGTCTCATCTTGCAGCTGTTGAATTGATTTTTCTGGTTCCTTGTTGATTTTAAGAGGTCCTTTCTTTCACAATCCCCAGCTGCCATGCTGTCTTCAAAATCTGAAATTCTATCTTTGGCTTCATTCCAGTGGTTTTTCCAGCTTTCAATGGAAGCTTTGATTTCCTGATATCTCTTTGAATCTGCTTCATGCATTTTAATTCATTTCTATATTTTTTATTTAATGTTTCTGTCCATTGCCTATGTTCATCTATTTTTTTATATGTTTCTTCTTTAGATGTGCTGAGCAGTTCTGTCAGTATTATTGTCATTTCATTTTTTACCTGAGAGATTATTTCTGTGGCCTGATGGAGTTGTTTCTTCACTTCCATTGCAATCATTTCAGCAATTTCAGGAGTGTGTTTACCAAGTTCTCCTATGTCGATATGTCCTGGACTTGTCCTGAAAGGGGTGGAGCTCTGAGATTGCATTTTAGTCCTTTGTCTTGTCATGTTTGATGTTGGTGGTAAAGCGCTCAGTCCCTTTCCTCCCTGTCAGCTCAACAAAGGTCACTGACCTCCGTAATTTTCCTGGTGGTCAAACTTGTCTCTCAGTGGCCACTGGGGTGTGCTGCTTAGTCTGGGTTCTTCTGGCAGAGGGTGAAGTTTACCTAGTTCTCCTAGGTCTCAGACACCAATCACGATGTCATCAGGTCACAGACAGTCTGATCCAGTGTCCCCTATCAGCTCAGGACATGAGTATGAACCAGAAGTTGTCTGCACTGGTGGCGTGATCACACACCACTTTGTCCTGTGAGTCCAGGGATTTCAGGGCGAAGGTAGAGCACAGACATGGACTGCAGGGTCTGCAGTTCATGGACTGCCTGATTCTGTGTCTGCAGGCCTTTCACCACAAGCACAGAAGCCAGAGGTGATCACAGACCACCTGTTTCCATGCTCCCACCCAGACATGAACCGTGGAACACAGACACGAATCGAGGCTTCAGCAGTTTTGTGGACCACCTGCTCTGGGGCTTCACGTGTCACTGGGCACGTGCAGGGTACCCCTCACAAACCCTGGTGTTAGTGGGTTTTTTAGTCCCTTGAGACAGTCTCCTGTGTGTCCCCAGTGCACGGAGGGTGGAGACACAGACTGCAATGGCGGCAGCCTTCTGGACTGCCTGCTCTGTTCCTGGGAAGTAGATGGGGGTGCTACCTGGTTCTCACAGCATTCAGCTGTGAACTGTGGTGTGAGCGGATCATGGACCTCCTGATTCTGTGCCTGCCTGCCACTCATGGCGCATACAGGACGCACACACCAGCTGTGCTGGCGGAGATCAGGAACCACCTCTTTCTGCACATGACCCTTTCTGATGTGTAGGCCTCATTCAATCAGTTGAAGACCTGAATAGAACAAAAAAGTTGACCCATTCCAAAAAGAATAATTCTTCTGCCCAACTGCCTTCAAACTGTGACATTAATTGTTTTTTCTTTATTTTGGAGTCAAACTAAAACATTAGCTTTTCCTGAGACTTGAGCCTATGAACCTTTGGACTGGAACTTACACCATGGTTCTCCTGGGCCTCAGGCCTTCAGACTTGTACTGAATACAATATCAGTTCTCCTGGATTTCCAGCTTGCTAACTCACCCTGCAGATTAATTCCTTGCTTTTTTCTCTCTCCCTACTCCCCAGTGGTCCCCAACTTATGATGGTTCAATTTATGATTTTTCAGTTTTACTATGATCTAAATGCACTATGCATTCAGTAGGTGCTCTACTTGTATTTTTA